CGCCTCCACTGCCACCGCACACATCAAACACCAACACTGCACAACACCTGTGACCACCACTGTGCAGCACCACCGAACACCGCCACCACTTCAAACAAATCAACAGCAGGAAAACACCACCACCACTTCGTCACACCAGATCCACCACCACCTCACCTCCCCACAAGATCCACCACCATCACCCACCTCTACCACAGCTAGAAACCACGACGACCACACCAAAAAAATAGATACAAAACTTCCAACACCCCACAACCACCGTCACCACCACGGCGTGGCCACCCCTCCCACACAGATCACGCCCACGTCCACACAAATCACACTTACCTCCATACAGAGCACACAGACCAGTGGCCGCTTTCTCGATGCTAATTCGGGCAGCAGCATCGCGACGCTGCTGCGACGCCGGCAGCAGCAGCAGCATCAAAAAATCCGACAGTACAAGGGGAGGGAGGGGGAGGAGAGGAAGGAGAGGAGGGGAGAATTCACCGGCGGCAGCAGCACAGTGGAGAAAGGTCGTCGGCGGCACCAGCACGGTGGGGAGAGCGAGATACGGGAGGGGGGGGTGAGGGATTTAGTGAAAAATTGGGGATTTTATGGTGGGAACAAAAGGAAATTAGAAATAATTATCTATTTAATATTTAAAATTGAAATATCTGATTTTTGAGAAGTGAAATTTCCCATGGAAAAGTGAAGTTGAAAAGAAGGATTTTGTGTAATTACCACTTCAATTTTTTTGGAGAATGATTGAAAAAAGTAAAGGATACCTCTGATGGGGGGATACGCAAAATGAGCAAAACTTGTCGAAGTCCTACATTCAAAACCCAATAACGAATTTAGTATTTTTTTCATAAATGTGAGTACAATTCTAGAGTTTCTATTTATTTTTTGGAATAAAAGAGCAAGGCCATGGTCTAGAAAACCCAGTCATTTGACGACAATATAGACAAAAAATTAGCTTGGGCCACTGATCCTGTTGGCCCAAAAACCAGTAAAAATTTTCAACTATCGAATTGGGCAGGGGCCGCGCGAACGCAGGCCCCCACTACCACAAATTATGACGTAGGCTCGTCCACTTGGGCCGACCTTAGGCGGGCGCCCCTCCAATGTGCATTGGAAGTCGCCAACCTATGCCATGTGTCTTCTTGTTCTCCCATTGACCCCGTCCAGGTAAGTATGTTGTCCAATCCCACTTGGTCTTATTTTATAATACTCTACAACCCCTGCTTTTCCTTGTTCTTCCGATGTGGGATCCTGAAAACAGTACATATCAAATATCAAGTGTTCTCTTGCATTACACTACATTTTTGTTCTCAATTCTAGGAATTGCCACGTACATAATTCAATTTATTATAACATTTTGCTATTTGTGGATTGCAAATGAATATAAAAATCCTAGGATATATCGAACGTAAAATTCGAGAATTTCAATTGTAGAGAACAAATGTTATGCTCTTGGATCATACTCTTCTACTCTTTTGTTGCTTTGGTTTCTATGTTAGATTTGAATTTCAACTATTCGGGCACCATCCCCTTTACGTGCTAATTTGAAGGTGAATTTTATCCATATAGTAAAAATTAATATCAATGGACTCGTGTTCGGAGATGACACGTTTCTAATACCCGGAGAGAATTACTCGAGTAGAAAACTAGTTCCACAAAATCAACACCTGATAATGTGGGTTATCGTGGATGTCGATTTTGAATGGAACGATGAACGATAATCACCTTATTTATGTGGTGCAGAATTAAAAGTCAAATATTATTCATTCCAAAAATCACAAAAGCAAAGAAATAAGTAAAATAAGACCAAAGTAGTTAGCTGCAAAAACCAAATCCTGGATGTAAAAAGTCAATTTCTTGATTTATTTTCAGTTGTTTTTTCCTTTATTATATGCCTCAAAAACTAGCTCACAAATACAAATTCTAAAAAGTTCCTTTCAAGATATTTCCAGCAAAATATCTTCCATGCAAGATTTTTTGTGAAATTTATTTCAACTAATCAAAGAAGGGATAATGTTTTCCAAGAACATTAGCAGCATTGTTACATTACTCGATTCCTCTTCTGCCTCTCGACTAACAACCTTACTAAAATATGGAAAAGAACGACGTATCAGAAGACCTGTCCGATTGGGAGCACATACAGTTGAACAATAACAACTCAAATCACACCAAAGGCTCAAATTTTCCTCCAAGTGATCATGAAGACTTGCCTGTCTCCACTCCACGCAACAGCGAACAAGTCCACGAGCCACGGCCATTTTTGTCACCTGATGGCGATGGCGATAGAAAAGATGGAGTCGACAGGGTGGAAAAAGATGTTAACCAATCGAAAAGATTGCATTTGGGAGTCTTGAATTCGGGTCTTTTTCGGATATTTCTTAAGATAAAAAAATTAGATTGCTTTAAGGTTGGATTGTGGACAGTGTCTGGAGTTGCAGCAGTTGTTTTAGTGTCCTTGTTGCATAGGCGAGCGTTGAAACGGTGGAAATCAATGAAGATGGAGCATAAGGAGTACCTATTACTTCTCATCAAAGAAAAAGACCAGGTTTGATTCAGAAAAAAGTTCCATATAGTTTAGAGCGTGATATTAATCTTAAAAAGTTTACTTATAAGTTTAAAAGTTTTGAAATAAATAAGAATTATTATTGATCAAAATTGAAAATAAGTTATTTAAAAGTAAATATATTTTAAAATAAATAAAGATTTTTGTTGATAAAAGTTATAAATTAGTTACTTATTTCAATAGTAAAGTAAGAGTTACTTTGAAATTAAGTAATTTTTTATTTAAAAGTAAGGAAAACGTAACTTATCTAAATGAGTTTGGAAACAAATTGTGACTTAAAAGTTTATTTTTACTTATTTTTAAGCTCAGACATTCGTGATACAACTATTGATATTAAACTGTAAAATGTTTCGAGTTTTTAATGTTGTTATCATATAGACCTCAAGTTGGAGTTTTTAAGATATCATATAGATCTCAAGCTGAACTTTAAACAACACGTACAAGCGCACCAAAAATGTTGACCTAAACTTAAACTTTTAATGAAATTGCTTACGATGAAGCAATAAGATTTAAGGAAATTGCGTGTTAGGAATAATATTTAATTTATTGTAGTAAGTTGTATCTCGCATTACTTAACTTTATATGAATGCCTTTGCAGCTCATGTATTACTTGTTGGGAGAGTGTTTGGCTAAGCTTAAAGATTACCACTATTACTTCAAATAAATTACTTCTTTTTTAAGTAATAACTTTTACATTATATAGCCTCCGTCTGCTTGCGATTCTATTCAGATTTTTATAAAAAATTAGAACGTTACATAGTCATGTGAGTCTCGCTGTAGTAGCAATTGTTGACTGCTTCCTTGCTAAACAACTAAAGTGCCCCTTTATTTTTGCATCCAATCCTCTTCAGCTGGGTATTTTTGGGATTTCAAATTAAAAATACTTTTCAATGCTTTTTTGTGTGTCAACCATTGCCGCTAGAGCAGGATCCACTTAATGTGAATAATGTTCTAATTTTACTTGATATCTGAAGAGAATCGCTTCTAGACAAGTGCATTGAAATAAGTTACTGATTTCCATCCTTGACTACTAAAAAAATTAATTATTTTGAAAGTTATTCATTTACTGATAAGTAAACTAGTTTACATAATGTAAATCCCTGTCTTATGTATTTCATTTCATAGTTTTAACCATTGGCTATTTGGCTGCACTTTTTTGCAGAAAATAAATCAACTTTTGCTCCGAATTGCCCAAATGAATGATATTTTACTAGCGTGCCGAAAAGTTCCAGTTCTTCGAGTTAATTGATGAATTGTGCATTGGGATAATTGTCTCTCTATCCATCATCCTTAATATTCTCAGTCGCTGTAAAGATGTTCAAACCAAATCTTTCTACTGAGAAGTGTCCTTTGGTGCTGGAATATCATGACTTTCTTGATGGCAGATGCTTTCATAGGCAATTCGAAAAATTTATGGCAAGTTTTGGTAGGTTCCACTGAATAAGAATGTACAAGATTCTGCAAGTTTGTTTAACCCTGTATGCAATAGATGTTGAAAGTGAATTAATGCTGTAAGTTGGGTGGCTAACAATGTTTTTATAAACCTATAGACTATAGTTACGATCAAGCTCCGGCATCATATCCATAGTTAATGCATTCATCATAGTTAGCAGTTCCAGCCCTGTACTTCCATTTTTGTCAACAAATTCATAGCAAAATGTGAAGCACGCAAGGGGAATCGAAAATTTTAAGAATTTAAAGAACCTAGAGTGAAACATGTTTAACAGACTAACTTGAAGAGTGTCAATGGAGAATGAAAAAGCAAGTACAACCTGACGAATCCCAAAGATAGAAAAGGTCAAGTGGCTGATAATTGGAAGGACATCCAACAATCACAACCTCATGCCATTATTTTGGCAGATCTCACGTAAAGACTGTCCACAACCTTGGCCATATTCGAAATGGTTTCTAGTGTAGCTGGATATATAGCATCTGTTTTGGGATCATCGAAAATGACGAGGCATCCAGCACCCTGGTCCAAAGTTCCTGCAAATTTCTTGTCCAAGATCATTTGCGACAATTTCTTCTCAACGTGGTCAACAGGCAATTCAATTAACTCAGCAATATGAGAAATCTCGACCCTTGAGAAAGGTTCAATCAACCTGCAAAGGTTCTGCTCGAGCAGTGTATCGTAAAGAGAAGAAAGGTGCCTGTGGACAATAGGATCTTCCTCTAGCTGAGTCCTAAAATTCCGAAGAGCAGTCTCAAAAAGCTTCAACGAGCGTTTTGAATGAGCATCAGCGATGGCTTTCATTGCATCAAGTTCAGGGCCCTGATATTGCAAACCCACCTTGGGGGATGATATTATTCCTGCAACATCATCAGCTTGGCTAACCATAATTTTGCAGAGCAGCATATACTTGAGGCTATATATGGCCTGAGGATCTTCAAGGGCATTGAAAGCTTCAAAAGCTTCATAAAAATAGCTATAAGCAGTTTTATAATCCTTCTCTTCTGCATGAAGAATCCCACTTTGTAAATCTATGATGCCCTGCTGACCCGGAGGCACGTAAATAGCATTGGCAGCTGTTCTTGCAGCAGTAAGTGCAGCCTTAGCTTTAGGAAGGTTTCTCAGAGAAAAATGGAGTTTGCTCTCCAACAAATCTATATCTACAAGCAGGAGCTTATCATCTAATCTTCTTACTTCCTTGATCAGGCCTGAAAGAAGATTTAATGCTTCAGAATATTCCTTGTTTTCCATCAAAAGAGCTGCAAGTCTTGCCTCAATTCGTTGGCGAAGGAAAGTTCGCTTCTCTGCACGGGTCCACAGGACCATTTCCTTGCAGAGGGCAATTTGGAGATCTGATGTATCTGGTATTTTGGCTACTGCATCAACAATTCCACGGACAATTTTTGCAGTCTTTGCTTTGGGTATCAATGAGAAGAAAGGCCGGAGCTGGGTCAGTAGATTCTTGAGTTCCTCAGCTTTGTTCTCTTGTCTGAGAAGATCAGAGAGATTGGAGATGGCCTGTTCTTTTATCCTTAGGGCCTCAGAAGAAGATGAGGGATTGTCAAGTATGCGATAGAGGATAGATATAGCCTCGGATGGAGTTTTTGTTTCAGTAGCCAGAACAAGCGTATCTGTGGTTGCTGGAAGATATGAAGAAGACATGGTGACGGCTTTCAGAATACAGGTCCTGCAATTCAGTCATCAATAAAAAGTTTACAATTCAATAGTAAAGTTTTTCCTGCAAACAATTCATCCAACACTTCCAGTTAGGGCTACAAAGGAATAGAGAGCACTACGAGCACTAGCGTTCGTCCCCAACTCTCCTACATGCATGTATATATTAGTCAAAATCCATTAATTCACTATTCATGATTGGAGTAAATCTTGTAATTCCGTTATTATTCAGTTAATCTTGTTGGTATCCTGTTCAAAAACAGCCAGAACCTTGTTCTACCAATCCAGACTTAATAAATTAAGTCCTTTTTTAAAAATAATAATCAAAAATATTTTTTAAGGACTCTTAAACATAAAGGTGCATAAGAAGTTTATAGTTAACACGGAAAGTTATTTATTTATAAGTGTCTCCTGTACAACAGTTAAAGTTGAGTTTCAATTCTTGCTTTCCATTTCCTACATATGTAATTCACCTCTTTAATATGCGTGATTTCTTTTTCTCACAAATCAAGAACTGTTTCTAATAGATCCTCTTAAGGAAAGGTATCAACCTGCATATGATTATCATATACGACACACCCCACTGTATATCTACAATATAAATATGCTAAAAAAATCTTTGATGGTTGTATATTAAGAAATATCTAATTTATCAACCAAAGAAGATTCTCATTGAAAGGCACAGATCAAAATGGATTGTAGTCATTTAAAGAATCAAATCTTGAAGAGACTGCTACATTTATCAGAAATTCTAAAAGTGCTATTCCGTCCAATTCACTGAATAAGGCACCTACAAGCTTTGTCCCTAATTTTATAGATTCTCCTCCTAATTTCATAACAACACAGAGAATTGACGAGGGGGTAACTCTATCTCCCAATTCCTTGAGCTATAATTGTCAGATTAGGCTCAGAAAGGACATCCCATTCAGCTCCATATTAGTGAAACACGAAAATGACCACTTTGCACCTCAAAATCAAATTCCTACTATCTTTCAGAAATTTCCTAAAAAATGCAAATATAAAAACTCAACCAAAAGATCCATCATCATATAGGCCAGGCCATCCATATTCTAAGATCTCGACACACAAAGTCTCATTGAAATGAGGCATCATATTTAGAACTAAAGGCATTGAATTGGTTTTAACATGTCCCAACTCTAAAGGCCCTAACTGCATGTCGACAACACGTACTTTCCATAGTATCAACAGCAAAATATTCCCACTCCAACCCAACAATAAAAAATATCTTCTCCTAATCATAGTTTGAAAAAACGTAAACGGGTACTGAGGCCTGTTTTTGTCATAAGACGAGGCGTAAGCCTCAAAACGTTTT